ATTATCAAAATAAATGATGGTTTACATCAATGGCTAGTTGATTCATTGATCTTTAGGAAGCCCTTTATTGCTATGCTGGTTTCAGATTTACTTAACCCCAATCAGATTACGTTTTTTTCAGGGAATTTTACAGGAGAACAACAGAATGGGACAGAACTGAAGGGTCTTGAGATATGTTTTTAAAAAGTGATTTCAATTTCAGATTTTAAAAACATGGTGCGAGACGCTCAAAGAAAGCAGCACAAGTTGTGAGGCATGAACAATGCATGAATTAAAAAATAAAACATCTCCGAAAGAGTCTCATCGTGCAAACTGTCTAACAGCTAGAACTGTGTCAGCATGGTATGTAAAGTATATACCGACACTACAAAAAAAGGGGAAACAAAGAAAAATACCTACTAATGAAAGAAAGTGGAGTGCCTTTCCTTTACCATGCCAAATGCAGCAAAAGATAAGCATGGATGTACGACGAGCTGCAGATTTACACCTGCTAGCCTATAGGGACCATGGAAGCTCTCTGGTGATCAGTGCGATAAGTGATCCAGTAATGTTGTGCGAGCGGTAGCCAATAGCCCTGTGGGCTGACTGCCTCCACTTTTACAAAGGTTATCATCAAGTGTTGTAGGATTTTAAGTAAGAGAGCATGCCGAACTTACCCTCGCATGCAACCTGAGAGGTAGGTTTGATCTGTTAAATGGTATTCTGGGAAGAAGCTCAAATTTGTGAAAATAAGTGCTAGAGAGTGTGTTACAGATCTGAATGCTGGGTAATCTGGCCCTGCAGCTAGTGATTAATACCTGGGTGTCCGATCCCATAAAAGTTGGAGTCTGTATATGCGTCCACAGGCGCGCCACAGGCTTGGATGGCGTCTGTGTGTACATACTTTGAAAGTTCTCTACTCAACGCTGCATAATTCCCTCTCTCTCTTCATTTCCTGCAGAGTCCAACACCACAGGAAACAGGGAGAGAGAACAGTAATGGAGTAACCAGCAGAGATAAAGAATAACATTATGCTGCTGGCCAAAAATAAAAAAAAACAACAACATGAAACCCGGACCGATCTTTTCCTGTTGTTCAGACACAAAGTCATCCTGGGCATCTAATTCAGATTTCACAAGTGTGTGATAGTCTGCTGCAGGTGTCTTTTCTTCTTCTGTTTGGCAAAGAGAGAGCAGATAGAAAGAATTCGACTATGTTGGAGTCTAGCAGCTAACACATGCTGGCTAGACGAGGTGACTATCGAACTTTTAACACTGCTCTTAACTGGGTTATTGATGTTCTAAACACCACTTTTGACCCTGGGTAGAGAAACATTTTACACTTGTAATTTATAAGGGGGGCTCGTACAGATTTTTTACCAGGGGTTATGAAACCCTGCTCCAGTGTTAGTCCCAGAGCAGTGTTAGCACCGCTTTTGCTGTGTTAACCCCGTATTGCAGTGGAAAACATGTAAAGTTTGAAACAATGTGGTGTTGGAATGTTTTGGCTAGATGCTTTAGCAACAGACACCCAATCGCGTGCCTCATATTTCATATACTTCGGACAATCAACACAGCATTTTGTATAAACAGTAATATCAGCTTTTTGACTGGTGGGAGCAGCTCGGGTGGAGAACAGTGACTGGATCTTAAACCTTCAGATGACACAAAGCTCATATCTCCGTCGCTTTAAGTTATCAAAAATGAAACCACACACAAAAACCCGCAACATACGATAGACACGTGTTGTGCAGCGCAGAGCAGCTTTCTCTCCTATTTTAACGATCTAAGTGCATGGTCTAAAGTGCACGGCACAAGTGCACTTAGGGCATGTTCGAATCCACTTTTGCTAGTTTAACGACAGGAAAAATTACGCATGGCCTAAAATGTCACTATTCTCTTAATGAGTAATGGGTGTGTTTTTGGCGTAACGTGCAAAAAAACAATCCGAGTGTAATTTCCCATTCCCTTTAAATGCCAGTTGCGCTCGCGCCATGGCGGATTCGCTAGTTACATGGTGGAATTTGCAAGCGGAAAGACCGAACGCGTCTCCAGAGAGCAAGCGGATCTGCTCATGCGCGAGGTTAAAGCGCGCAAGCAGACCATCCATGGGACACGCCGGATTCCACCATATCTTTATGTACACAATATTAATCTTTAACATTGTTATCCTTTTATTTTTTATATTTGGCATGTTTGTGTGTGCTGCTGCTGTGTGTGTAATAAGCAGAGTGTATGCGCGTGTTGGTCCCGCCTATATGCGCATATTACTAACACGCTCTTCAAATAACATACAAATAATAAAATTGCGCCATTGACTTTAGACCAGGTTTCAGTTGGTCAATGGCGCAGTCTATTTCAGTTGCCTCAAAATAGCAACGCACAACAATGCGCCTGCCCTGAACACACCTCGTTTTCAGACCAGCACGCCCATGGGCGCACAAATGGCCACAAATGCATTTGCTATTTAAACAACGTGGCGCAGGACGTGAAAATGATAACTGCGCCGGGCTGAAACTAGCAAAAGACACTTGCAAAAAACTTGGCGCCGCATTGCACCAGGTTTATGATAGGGTCCATCTAGTTTCCAGTCTGGTTCATTTCACACAGCGCAGGTCACACAATGCGGTTGTGAGTCCTGAAAATTTACAGGTATGAGTTCAGTCATTGAATGCGGTTGTCACTACCGTAAATATCTGAACTGTGTGCGAATGTAACCGTATCAAGGACTCAAATACAGGATTGACAACAATATTCTGCTGCTGTATGAATGTGGCCATATGGTGCATTCAGAACGCCACGTGTTATCTCGAAATTACGGTAATTATGAAATGGCATGAATCCAGCATTTATTCATATTATAGCATGTGACACTCATATGGACATTGCAGGTATGAGTCTGACTGTTCTTTCACAGTCAATTCTGTTTCTTCCACTTCTCATCGTTTACCATCCAATCACTAAATGTCGCATGAAAGAAAAAGAAAAAATAGCAATGTGTCATATAATTCATATTGAGGCCCACTCTAATATCCCAGTGATGCTTGCCAAACAAAAAGAGCAAAGAGGGACAGATTTGAAGTACATGCACTCACTGCTGCCATTAGCAGAAATGCCTCACACCTGTCTGGGTGTGCTGTATTAATGGGTGCGGAAGTAGTTTGTGTGTAAAGTGTTCATTTGCCTCAGATACACAGAATGGGTGGGAGTACATCTGGACCATTGAACTGTCATTGCAATGGAAATCACATCCATCTACTGTCTCCTTTGTGCCATTCATCGTCCTCGCTGTGACAGATTTACAAACCGATTCTGGTGTAAGCCTGACATGACCATCAATTAGCATGCACATTCATAATACCAGACCTTGCACTCAGGTATGGCTTTCTTTCTCCAGTTCAAGAGTTTACTTTACTCAAATGTGCCCAGATAACTGCATGTAACATAATAATGGAACATTTATGAGTGGCAGACTATTCAGCGGAAAATGTAAGACGGGACTTGATTTAGTTGGATTCTGAAAAGTGGGTGGTTATTGGTGAATATTTCTTTCACCTTTCAGAGGTACTATAATATTACATTTTTATGAAAGGCTATGATTTTTTTTTATACAAAATAACAACATGTATTGACGATTAATGCACAGCAAGACTAGGGACAATAATTAAAACAAAATCATGGATCCATTTTGATTTCATTTTGGAAATAAAATAATGCCAAATGTTTTTGAAACAAAAAAAGCTTGTTGAAAAACTACTTGAAAAAATATGCATATGAAATATCCACAGCTTAAATATATAACCATGTTGAATTTTAGCCCCTAAAAATGCAAGCCCTAAAAATACAAATGCATTAAAATGCAAGCACGGTTAATGCAATGCATATTGTTTTCAATTAGTGCAATTCAACAAGCTTTTTTGTTTCAAAAACATTTGGCATTATTTTACTTACATATTTAATCTCCATGCATAATAAAAAGTTTAAGAATCTAAACCCAATTTGAAGATGGAAACTAATTCAATACAGAGAAATCTTGACGTAGCATTACGGCAGGCTAAGCAATATTTTCAGTTAATAATGTATATATCACTGTATATATCAGAATAACCGCTGTGTGAACTAGTTTAGGATCGCCTTCTAAACAGATGGAAGCAGAAATAAATGTAAAAAAACAATCTGTATGCTGATACTCTGTATCTGATTCTTCATAATATGTGTCATCAATCATTTAAAAAACCAACAAAATACTAAGCTTTTTTGGGCAGGATACACAAATAAACAAATACACACACACATAAACAGTGGGCAAATGGGAAATCAACTCTTGGGTTCAGCTGACTACTAATGACTACGCTCAAGCCATGGGACGTGGACACGCACTCATAAAACACACATCATCCATCAAGCACATGTGCTCACCTCGTCACTTCATCTCTGACACAACCGTTAAGCTGAAAGGTACGACCTCTCTTCCCCTTGGCATAATTACAATAAATCGCATTTCCACAGAATGCTGATCAGGGACCATCTTTCATCATTGATTTCATTCATCAAGATGGAACATAAAAGTCATTGATTTTCAGGATATTTTACATCAATCAGCTTACAAATGATAATTGCATAAAAGCTGTGTTTCTTAAAAATCCAAGCTGTTGAAATGGGACTTAATATTGACTTCAATTGAGTTTAAACTGAGCTAAATATATTTTCTGTACCCTCGGACCCTTTCACAAACCTTTACATTTTCATTAAGTCATAATTAAGTACGCTTATCAAGCCCTTTTCCTCACAGGTCCCCACTGTAGCTAATTTTAGGTTTTAAGATCATTATAAGAACATATGGTCCCCTCAATGCAGGCAAAGCCTGACCCACACACACACTCACATTTATATTCATGCACACACTTATTCCAACAGACACACTTATCAAAAGCTAGGCAACCTACATCTGTTTCATCCCAGACCTTATGCAGTGCCATTCACATATCTTGTTCTACATTCTAACACTCACACAAGTCTTACCAAAGTCTTTATGCGAGGACATCCAGCCGATGCCTTTGAGAGAGACGATAGCAAGAAGTCCAGATCCCACAAAGGAGCCGATGCCGGAGAAGAAGAAGAACAGGCCCATTATAGCGCTCTGCATGGAGCGCGGGGCTGCGGAGTAGGCGAACTCCAGACCTACAAACACAAGAAAATGCAGAAACCTATGATGAAAGTCTGAAGTTTGCTTCCAATGCATGATCAGAACCTCAAAGGCACTCTACGTGTCCACATACACAGAAAAAAACATAGTCTTGTGGAAAAGATCATGGTTGAAAATACAGGCTCGCTGCATGTAGATACAAGTGCTCACAGACAAAGACACATGGGAATTCACTAAGAATGAATTGCACCTAAAGCACTGTTTATTCTCATACACTTTCTATACTGTTGTATCAACTTGCAGCCAAAGAGTTCTGACTTTTGTGAAAAAGACGTGATCTTAATGAGCCTTATTCGCATAGAAATGAGGAGTGTTTGCATTAAAATAGGCTGCAATATATGTGCATGTTCTACTTAAAAATAAAAAAGAAATTAACTATAAATGATTTGATAAAAAAAGATATATTAACATTACCATGTCCATTAAAATGCTAAAAATCTTCAGAGAGTTTATATATATATATATTAGTGCTGTAATCGATGAAAACAACAAATTCTGTAATTAATCATGATTAATCGCACATAACATTAAAGTTTTTAATATATATTTATGTTGTAATACTTTAACATTTGATCACCTAAATAATGTAGAAACAACAAAGGCAGTGTATTTTAAATATTTTCTTTTTTTCTTTTTCCTAAGCACTATGAATGAAGGCCAGTATCACTGATACCAATACTTATGTCTCCATTACAGAAATTCCATAACAATCTTCACATAAGACCATTGCAAGAAATGTCACATTTAGCTGTCTTTAATTTATCAGGGTTCAACACAAAGGGTTTTTTTCCAGTCGGGACAGTTCAGATGTTTATCTGCCCTGCTAAAATGCACAAAAAAAAGTTATTGTTTTCGTTGTTTTTGACCCATGTAACCTTGTAAAGAGTACTTTCAGGTAGCTCTAACAGATATACTGAAACTGAATAAAGTTATCAAACACTTTGCAGTCTTCACAGCATACATTTTGAATTAAATATAGATGAATCCTTATTAAAAGCTACAAATGTTATGCAGTCAAGAGCAGGGAGTGATTTTCTCTTTGTCTTTTGTTCTTTGATTAACATTAAATTACAGACAGCAGTAAGTGTATTAGACTGCTGTCACTTTAAGACCTGAAACATCCTATTTTCTTACAAATCTTTGCGTTCATTTAAGACTTTTAAGATTGTGCTTATGGGGATATTCGACAAAACAGGAATTTTGGCATAATTTTGTGTGTTTTTGTCCGTACAAGCGTGAAAGAGAACTCAATGGGGTGCTGTCTGAAGCGGCTTTCTGTGTGAGAGTTTCGGGTGTTTGTTCACAGAGAGCCGCTTCACAGCCAGTGAAGATTTTAATTATTTGTCTCGTCACGTTTGAATGGTTTAATAGCGCTTGAATAAATAACAGCGTGATCATATACTGTAGCGCAGCCAAAGGATGAAAGAAAAAAATAAATGCTGCGTTAATTGCTTCAATATTTTTTAAAGCGTCAAAAACAAACAATTAAATGCATGCGTTAACGCGTTCATTTTGTCAGCACTGATATTTGATACATACTGATATATATACACACACATATACATATGCCAACTCTCTGAAGATTTTTTAGCATGGTAATAGATATGAGAATGTTAATGTATTTGGTCTTGGCAGCTGCTGCTGACATCGCTGCTGCTATTGATTACTGCTGTTGTTGTAGATTACTGCAGCTACTGCTGCTGCAGAGCAAGTACAGGAACTTGATGCTGTCAATACATTCCCAGACACGCTGCTGTGAGAATGTAAAACATACTGCTTCTGCACAAATGGCATATAAAAAATTAACCATAGCAGATCTATAAAGGTGGAGCTGGGGAAGGTGGTGTGTTTCAGAGGAAATCTGAAAGCGCACTGCAAACTGCAATGGTAAACGCTAATCAGCTATTTAAATGTTGATCAGAAAGCTCATTGGCTGCAGATGCGACAGGAACCAATCGGATTGTGCCATTAACGATTGTTAAGGAGTAAAAAAAAAAACCCAGCGTCATGAGGAATTCAGCCAGCGTCAGCCTGTGCCATCTATAGTTTCATGACAACTTGGTGTGTGTGTGTGTGATGTGTATATATACTGTATATATATATATATACACACACACCAAGTATGTGTATGTATATAGTATATGTATATGTATATTTTTTTATTTCATGTTTATTTCATCTATGTTTAAAAATGTATAGTTAATGTAAGAAACATTTAAAAAAAATTTAAATAACTTTTAAAAATGCACCTTCTAATTTGTATATTACCTTTTTTATTACCTGATAAACCTTTCATTTCTATATTTAAAGTTTTTTTTTTAAATAAATTAGTTTTACATATCTATTCTATCCATTTTAAAATAGTTTTTACATATTCTATGTAATCTATCTATTTTAAAATAGTTTTTACATGCATCTATTTATTTGTCAGTTTGTTATTTACATTTGAATTAATCAATTGATAATTTATTCCGGCATTAGATTTTAAAATGGCATCCCTACATTGCTAACATCCACCGACAAAGCAGACAAGAAAACCTTGTTAGATGCATCAGCCAAAAATTGGGAATACATTGCTAAAACATATTTGGAGATGAGTGTGTGTCCATACATCTGTAACACTGATGAAGGTCTGGCAGCAGAATGACTCAGAAACACCTACTTCAACTGCCAAAATCAGCACACATCCCTAAATATTTACAGAAAGACACCAAGAAAAAAAAACAGAGAAAAGCAGTATATAGAGGATGCTGAGTGGTGGAAAGAAAAGGTGGAGTAGTTCAGGAAAGTCAGGGGATGTAGAAAGGATGCAGAAGAAGAAAAAGAGAAGATCAAATCTCTTTTTAACCCTGAGTGGTGGCTGCCTGCTGGCTGACATTGATAATTTCATGGCGCCTCAAACTTGTCATTTTTAAAATTATGGCTTGTGGGCACAACTGTCAGACTCGTTTACTGAGCCTGGTTAGGCCATGAATCTTCTTTGCTAGATGGACAGATAGTAAGAGAGAGAGAGAGCACAGGGGGAAAACTGCTAAAAAGAAAAGGGAGGGATTCCACAAAACGGAGCAAAAGAGATCATCTAATCCCATCCCACAATCCCACGCTCTCGCTGCTCTCAAACAAATGCACATTAGGAGGCATGGAGGCAGGAGGGGCAGAGCAAGAAAAAAAGTGAAAGAGAGGGAGATGAAGGAATGCGGCTGCTCTATTACAGTGTTTATAGCTGTCTGCAGGCATGGTTGACCTTTTCTAAGTGCTGTTTGTGCGATGGAGGCTGTCTGACGACAGCAATCAGATGTTTGAGAAGCCCTGGGCTCAAGAAACACTTAAAACAAGAGTAACTGTTCAAAATCAATCAAGACTACGGAAATGTTATGAGCTTCTTCTTTCTAAAATGGTTTGATTTACAGTACATCATTGTGTTACATACTACAATGAACTGGAATAAATTTTAACATGACTCGCGTGAACGATATGTAATGCATTGACCTCTATGGAGTAACAAATACCACTGGCATCACCTGCTGTTAAATGTTATTGAAAGAAGTCTGTTATGCTCACCAAGGGCCAGATTTACTATACGGCAAATCTGCGTATAACCGCAATCCCATAAAAGTGCCGATGGGAGGGGAAAGTTCTGTACACACACTGATGAGCCAAAACATTAATGACCAGTCACAGGTGAAGCAAATATTGATGATAATCCACTAAGGCCACATATTAAGATCTGGCTAAATTAGATGGTAAGCAAAAAATCAGTTCTTAATGGGCGGAAATAAAGATTGGAGCAAATTTGACAAGAGCCAAATTGTTATGGCAAGGTGACTGGGTCAGAGTATCTCTGAAACAGCAAGGCTCATGGGTTGCTCCCAGTCAGCAGTGGTTGCTGCAGTCTAATGACACGACCATCCACAATATCACGGAAGAAGAAAGAAAAAAATATATAAAACCTGACCTTTTCTAACTTCAAAGCTGAATTATTCAAAAAAGAAAAGAAGTTTAACTTGAAATATTCTGGTTTTATTTCTCCCCTTGCAGAGTCAGGCAGTGGGCAATTTTTCTTTCTCGGAAAGAACATTAGCCTTTAACATTTTTCGGAGAGAACGATATATAATTAAAATTCCCAGGGGAGGAAAAAAAAAAAAAGATTCCGGTTTTAGGTCTGTCCCCTCAACCGGAGTCCATACATATCTCCCGCAGGTGGTGCATGTGTGTAAGTGCAAGTGTTCGTCTACAACAATGTGAAAAATCAGAATCAACTCAACTTCCGCTGTCATCTGACAGCCCACGACAAAGCGAGCTGGCAGTGGAGTCCATTAAAACGGATTTATTCAAACAGAATAGGGCCAGAGGAGGGAACTTTCCAGAGACATTTGTCACATTTCTTGTCATCCAATTTCCTGGAGGTTCCCCAGGGATAGGGATGGAGCGTTGAGGCTTTATTTTAAGAGTCCTCCATGCTATCAGGAGGCATGCATTTCATGGGAGTGCTAGGACACTGAAGACCTGGGGTGAGGTGGAGAGAGTTGACTACGAAAGTGTGTCGGCACCCCGCCGCACAGACATGACGTTATCAGACACAAACCTGTGTTTAACTGCTGTTGCGGTCACATTAAATCTTAGTCTGGTTGACCTAAGGAATTGAGGAGTCCCCCAAAATAGTGCCAAGATGTTGTTTCATAACTGATGGATAAATGTCCTGCAGCTGAGCTTCTGGGTAATCTTTGGAATTAGCATGTTAGCATACATCTCAGAGCAGAGCACATTACCTTTTCTTTCAAGTATACATTCCCAAAATGTACATGGAACAATCATATACACAACTACATTGTGCAATTTTACAGATGTTCGTAGAATGATTTCCACTGCATCAAACCATCTCTGGCCTTGGCCATCTTCCCAATCATGTTCAAATGTAAAAGGATTATTCAAGAAAATGAGAAAAGCTAAATTTATCTTCATTTCAGCGGGTGACATGCTATTCAACATCTTTAATCTTAATATTTTTGATGCAGTCTTCGCACCTCTCCAATTTCTCTATCATTTCACAGCTGTCTGTGATCAGGAAGCGGCGGGCTGCCTCTTGTATTGATTCTCATAGCTTGATGGCTCTCTTCAGATTTAAAAAGCGCCTTTGCAGATAGGGTCTTATAGCTTTCCACAATACTCGAACCCCTGGAGACGTGATGGAGGAGCGGAAGATTACACTTAGCCTTCCCCATCTCCCCATTCTGCTGGAAATTCAATCAGGGGCCGCTACGTCCACCATGGACATATTATTCCATCGGCGCTGAGCCTTTTTTCTTTCAATTTTTTCAGGTCCGCAGATAAAAAATAAAATGAAGATGTTAACTGTTAGGGACAGCCACTATCCCCACAAGAAAGTAGAAAAAAAGAGAAAGGGAAAACAAAAGAGGTCTCTTGTTACTTTTTGGAGAGGGCTGCTGTGTTAACAAAAAGAGGGTAAAATGCAGCTTTTTAACTGGTTGTGTTCCTGTTTGAAATCATATATTCAAAAGATGTGCGCATTGAGGGATTTTTTTTTTCTTCTAAGGACAAGGTCTCAAAGCGGAGAAGTATCCTTTGGGGGTACAAAGTACAATACAGACAGGGATTTAATTCAGGATACATTCATTACATCAGTGTTTGGGATTGGCAACCTGCTCAATGACAAAAAAAGAATGTCCAAAAATCTAGTTCATGTTCTTAGAATTATGCTGGTTTCATGTGGTTTTGAAAACCTTTTTTTTTTACAACTTTTAAGAGAAGTTTAAATGCTATTATTACAAAAATATAATTTGGTGTAACAAAAACTTTTTTTTTTGGAATGGTGTAAAATTGTTTTGCTGGTCTAGAATTTCATAAAAGAAACTACATTAACACTGACAACATTACAGTACCATTAAATGAACACTACATTAAAATGAATAATATATACATTGGCACTGCAACACCACCACCAATGAACACTAAATTACCATCATGCAAACATTACACTAGAAATGTCACCACCTTAGATGTAGAGAAACATTAGAATACTTTAAAAGCAACCTTACATTAAGAATGATCAGCGCTTGTCAAAAACAGTTTCTTGTACTTTTGTTATTTGACTATTAAAGATACTGCATTTGAATCCAACACACCTCATTTCTGAGTTCCCAGCATTAAATCGGAATCATTATTTTCAAAAAACGTTTTGAAGAAAAAATATTGGTCAAATGTTTTTAGCAAATACTATGAATTAAATATTACGTTTTTGGAAAGTCGCACCACATGACATTACACAATCTGAAATGACCTTGCCTTGCCATAAAAGGGTCAAATTATCTGTTACTTAACAGATCTAATGAATAAATTATCGAATAATTAGATCCAGAGAAAAAAAACAGCAGTGCACAACATTTTCTGAAGCTAATATCTTCTTTTAAAAGACCTTGAAAGCCCTTGTAGACATACCGACTAAAAAAAAGCATCCAGTTATTTGAAGGACCATAAGCCATGAGCAACAATCTGATTTAAAACACCTCTTCTAAGGGGGTAGAGGAGAAATCCAGTAATCAGTACTGTGTTCTCTACAATTCAGCATGAAGGGAGAGTGTTTTCCTTGCCTTTGTCAAATGTACTTATTAGTCTTGTTTGTTCATAACGGCTAAGAGGGGAGACGTGCAGCCTTTGATGTACTCTGTGCGTGAAATGGGCGTAAAATTACTGGTGTGGTGTGTGTCTAAGAGGAAAACAAGCATTTTTGAACATGACCTTGGAAGAGAAGCTGAAGGGTTGAAATGAACGCAGCTGTAAGTTTGGGGAGAGTTGAACACTGCTAACCTGTGTGAAAATATGTATGGTTGGACACAGACAGGTCCACATATAACCAGCGGTAAATATAGAGCTGAGACAGCGAACACAAATAAGACAAGTGCCATGGATAACTGTAATCTGCAAACCTATAGAAAAAAAAAAAAAAATGTGGGAGCTGAGCTGGAAATCAAAAACCTTACTCAGAATCTGTTCCATTTTTTTTTTAAAGGGAATCAAAAAAAAAGTAGGACAACCAGAGTAGTTCAGTGTGAATGAATGATTCTTGTGAACTGGTTCGTTTGAACAAAATCAAAATGATTTACTAATGAATCTTGAAGTCAATCACTGAATCAGTCAGTCAGTCATGCCACAAACTCAAATCCAATTGTTGCATTACATTTTTAAGCTTTATGATACTGAATCAGTGTGTTACATGTTAGACATTGGCTTAACCAATGGCGTCAGTATGGGCAGAAATACTGAACTATTTGTAATAATTATTATAATTAGCAATGTTTTAATCCTTTCTCATATTGTCACGGTCTGGAGTAAAACTATATATCTCCATATTTCGTTTTTTTTTTCTTCATAAATCATTACTATTATTACTACTTTGGGGTTTGCAAATTTTAACCAATGAAAAGTATTAAAAAGAGCTTGTGACTAAACCGTAACTCCATAGGATTCTCAAACTGTCAGTAAAACCTCAGAACTTCACGCCGCCTCAATCTTGAATGAAGTGCCGCACACATTTTAGACGGTCTCTGCTTGTTTGCAAAGCGAGGGTGAATAAAGAACTGTTTGGATAAGTACAGTGTTGTCTTTACTCAAGTAAATTAAAGCACTTTATATATACCAATGTTTTATGTATTGGAGGAGCAGAGTCTTAGTCTTGCATTTGCCGTCCAGTTATAGCCAATACTGTAAATCGTGGGCTAATTTTCATTTTTGGGTGAACTATCCCTTTAAACTATGTGGCGTACACCGATTTTAATCGCAATAAACAGGGGCACCTTAATTGCATTATAACCACTCTGACCAAAGTGTGCATGTGCTCGGACGTACATGGATGCATCGTTGTTCACACAACTACATGAATGAACTATGTGACATTATTCTGAAGTTTTCTCTTCTCCAGATCGCTAAACTCACTGCTCAGTCTCTGCTCTGTATCTTCATCCAGTAGACACAAAGAACGTGACGGCAGAGTAGGAAAACCCAGAATTGCAATGTTTATCACAGCGCCGAATAATATCCAGTATGTCCATACAAATGTATTTTGAATTTGTTGCGAGTAGATTCAAACAATGGCCGGTAACATGCATACTGTATGCCTTTCTGAGTGTGGTATAATCATCCTTATTAACGAATAATCAGAATAATGGAAATTGCATGTAAACTGGAGTGAAGACTTCTGCTCGTGTCATGAAAACATTAAGACCTTAATCTGATTATTAGAAACAATCATGTTATTGTTGCACATGTAAACGTAGTCAGTGTTTTATTATTTAAGAAATACTGAAAAGTAGGTTTCTGCCTGGCAGTGACGATGTGTACAAAAACAAATTCTTAATGGAATCATTAAGGAACCGGATTTGTTAAGTGAAATCCAAATGAAATTCCTTACAATTCTCATCATGACAGAAATTGCTGTAATTACTGTAGATCTCAGCAGTGAAGGTGGTAATAGGAGCCGCTCCCACACAGTTTTTTTTTTTCTTTCAAACGCTGTGTTAGGGGATATAGTTTCCTTTCATCTATTTTCTCATTAATCTCAAACCCACTTGCTAGAGACTTTCTTGATATTTTCTCAGTGTGCTCCAGCAGGAGCGAGATGTTTTCCCTGGCCGTCTTAACTGCGCAACTGCAATAATGTATCGCCAAGCCCCAATCGATCGGTCCTGATTGATACAGCCATGGATTCCTTAGCAAGCAATTTCAGCAACGGCTCAGACAAGAGCTACTACACAAAGGCAAGGCAGAGAGAAGTTTACTGCAGTTTTTAAAAGGACACGCATTGATTAGCATGGTCATTAGGACAGATGAATGATCCTACGGAAAAACTCTACAGTGCGCAGAAGAGGCCGAGAACTAGGAGGACACAAAAACACACTTGTGTTAAATCAAGCTTCAAGTTATCTGGACAAGTTATTCATTATATGCATCTAAAATTGATGTTTACAAAAATTGATTCTACAATCAAAATCCGAGGCGTTTCTCGTCATGGTCATCATCTCTCAAATGTCCTTCCAGGCTCAGTATCACCTCGTGAACCACTAAATGTTAAAAGGGCCATTTCATGGAAAACATCCATTTTAATACATCGATTATGTTTAAGTATGACATACTGCAGCAAAAACTAGTCATCTAGTTTTTTCATAATTCTGATGTCAAGTTTGACTGTCCAAGTTAACATATCAACACCTAACCATACTGGATCATATTTGAGGTTAGTTATTTATAACAATGGTCATTTACATACAGCAGTCTTAAACATTTCAGAACAGAAGCAAACATTTCATTCAGTCATTTCAGTGCCATATGGTGCAAGAAACCTTGTTAAACATTCTAAAATAAACTAATTAAATAAAGAATGCTACAAACAATGTAGAATATGGTCCCTTTATAAGCTCTGTTTGTGAAGGTAAGAGCTTTGTGTGTGTGTGTGTGGCTCAGGTATACCCTACGTTATGGGGGGGAAAGTCCATCAAAAGACGGCAATATCCCAAATCCTTGTTTTTGTTGGGGCATTTTTTGGTCCCCATGATGAAAACAGCTTATAAATCATACTAAGTGATGTTTTTTTCTTTTTGGAAAATATAAAAAAATGCAGAAAGTTTTCTTAGTGGTAAAGGTTTCTTGGTAGCTCAGGGTTAGGGGATATAATATACAGTTTGTACACTATAAAATCAATATGTGTTTGTGTGTTCAGAAGTGTTTTGCAAAGGACTACCTACCTGCAATACTAGCAAAGATTTCGCTGACACCAATGAGGACGTATTGGGGGACTTGCCACCATATGGGTAGATCGGCTGCATAGTATATAACTCCACCGAGCGACTGCGGGATGGGATCTCGTGTGTGGACAATGTCCAGCCTCTTTGTCTCTAAAATACCTGTGAGGAGCAAGAAAGAGCATATAAGATAAAAAATGACTAATAAATACCTCATAACAGTCCAGAAACCGTAATGGTATGGATTGGTTTTTTTTTTTTTTTTTTTTTTTGGGGGGGTGTAGCACCAAATCAGCATATTAGAATGATTTCTGAAGGATCATGTGACACTGAAGACTGGAGTAGCAGCTGCTGAAAAGGCAGTTTTACCATCACAGGTATAAGTTAGGTATACTTTATATACCTAACAGGTATACTTTTATCCTCACCAAAGCTGCATTTATTTTAGCTGCATATATATATATATGTGTGTGTGTGTGTGTATATTTAAAGTTATTTAAAATTGTAATTTAATTTAAAATAAATGCAGCTTTGGTGAGAATAAAAGTCCTTACCAACCCCAAACATTTGAATGGTAGTGTAATATGGTAGTGTATACAGTAATAATAAATCAGCAATAAATCAACTAATGAGCGCACTGCTTTCTAAATATTGGCAGCAGCCATTGAAAAACTAAGTGTTAAGCATGTGTGTGTCAGGGTGCTAGATCAGATACACGTGTGCATGTCTGGAGGGAAAGTGCATGTAACAGTGAATGAAAAAAGTATGAACAGTCCATTAATGGATTAAGTGTCAGGTCAATGCTAGCGCTTCACACAGGTCACAAACAGCTTATCTCCTGCACATAAAAACACGTTCGCACACACAAAATTGTACCAGGTCGGGTTTAGCGGGTAATCGGAGTGGAGCAGAGATTGTCAGTCTGGTCTATCTAAAAGCTTGATAAAATAATAACCATGTTGCAGGTGCTATTCAGATAACTCCTCATGGGATCCCAATCACACAGACATGCACATATTTCCATTTTTGAAGGGGTATGACCTTGTATTTCATATGCTTAAAATAGCAGGATGTGATACATCTATAGCATGTCACTAACACAAAGTGCTTCAGTTAACAAAACAGTAACTTTTTTCCTCTCTTCCCTCTCATCTTTCATTCCCTCCTCCACCCCTCTCCCAAACACCAGAAGCGTTCCGGCTCTGATCTGTGGCTGTGGCGTCAGATTTAGATCGGAATACAAATGACGCCTGGAATAAAACACTCTTTGGCTAAAAGTGCGACCCGCTGCGGATTACAGTCCTCACTCCTGCACTTCCAAGAGGTTCTAAACCCAGATTGAAAAAAAAACAAAAAAACTTTTATTTCTGGAGAAAATTGAACAGAAGTAGAACTGCCCGAGGCATCGTGTGCTGTGTGGCGGTAGCGTGTGTTTGCAGCTTTGTTGTCGGCACAGCTTGCCGTGGAAATGACTGCTTCCTGAGAGCAGGACAACAAGTGTGTCCAGGTGTGTGGGCATCATCTGTGCCTGCGGGTAAGGTTGGCTTCAGAGCTATGCCACTGCCAAGCACCCATCTGTTTGGAAAATGTTGTGTAAATGTTGTGAGGGGGTTCTGGCAGTGGTATTTTAAAACCCACCTAAGCCCTGCTGGGTTCAGCTACTGGGTAGACACAAACTCAAGTGTATTGAAGCACTTTTAATCTAAGAGGCACAAGCCTTGTGTGTAAGCACATAAACATACACACATTCATCTATGCTTGGTGGCAAAACCACTAAAGAAAAAAAGCAAATAATCCAAATTTTCACAATTCAATAGTAAAACATTCCATTTGCCTTTTTTCCTAAGTGAATATCCATTTAGACTTGAAATTACACTTTTGCACATAACTTTACAATAGCCCTTGTTTCTCAACAAAATATTATTTAAAACTCAGGGATTTCATCATCTAACGTTCATAGTATTATAAAAAGAATCACACAATCCAGACAGAAAGGAATCCAGAGAAGAAGAAAATAAATAAATAAATAAATAAATAAATAAATGCCCATGATCTTCAAGCCCTCAGATGGGAAAACGGGGGCAAAAAGTACTGGTAAATCTGAGACAGACTTGCTGCAAAGTAGAAAGGTGTGCTGGTGTCTGACAAGTCTACATTTTACATTTTCCCAATCTATGCCCTCAATTATATGTCACATTACAAACAAAATATACCTTTCAAGAGATACAACTCTTTGTCTTTCCTGCTCCTGAGGTTTCATTCAGAACGATGAGTCACAAATATTTCAGAGATTCAGATAAAAGTTCCAATTATTGTTCATTATTTGTTGATATTTAATTTCATACACATCCTTGGCTCTTTGAATAATTGCCTGCAATTTACCTTTATGCTGCGTGTGCCCACAGGTGACATTTGTGTGCGTGCGTAATATTAAAGGGTTAGTTCACCCAAAAATGAAAATTCTGTCAGTAATTACTCACCCTCATGTTGTTCCAACCCCGTAAGACTTTCGTTCATCTTCGGAACACAAATTAAGATACACAGAAGCTTTGCGCAATATCACTACGTGAAATATCACGGCCGTACGTGTGAACGGCTTGATTTGAGGCAGGGGAAAACATATAAGGAGATTAAAAAAAAAACACTGGATGGATTTTTATAATTTTATGATGGTTGTGTACAGGCACTGCCAACATACATTTCAGTACAATCAACTTGTGAAAGTGCATGTACCATTATATGACCCCTTTAAGAAGCCTATGGAGGAGTGATCCAGCTCTCAGATTTAATCAAAAATATCTTGATTTGTGTTCCGAAGATGAACGAAAGTCTTACGGGGTTGGAACAACATGAGGGTGAGTAATTACTGACAGAATTTTCATTTTTGGGTGAACTATCCCTTTAATGAAAAAAATAAAGAAAAATAAAGAGCGAAGGGGTAAAGAAAAGAAAGAACTGCGTGATTACTATACATTTGGTATTAATGAGGGGCACTAAAAGACTAATTTCCCAAGATATCTCATCTATATAATAAGTGCCATTAGAGGGAGCCATTATGTCACAGGCATACACACTCACCACTCCATGCATCTTAATATACACACACACTATATGACTAATAGTTCTCTCTCACACAGACACACACACACACACACACACACTTAAAGAATCCATTCACACATAGTAAGCATCCTTAAACCATGCTTGTATCAGGTAGCGGTTTATTAATGAGTAAGTGTGTCATTGAGAGGGAGTACAAAGGATGGGACGCTCTCTTTCTCTCTCAAGAAGGAGAGCATGAGTCCCAAAGGTTCTCATTAGTATGATCTCTACACACACACACACACACACACACACACACAACTAGTCTGATATGAACGTGGTTTGCACATACTGATTCCACAAGAGTGTGCCAACGAGATGATTCCCCCAACCCCCCCGCTCTTGGCTACATCAAAGAAATGGTTATTATTAGATAACATCTGTATTGTGCACTGCATACTAGACTTACTGCATGTTCAGGCTTTGTCATGCAATACTAAAGGTCATTTCCTTGTGCATCATTTTAAAACAGTGGTTCTCAGCTGGTTTTGCTACAGGACCCAGTTTGTTTTCCCATTGGACATGGAGTGGTGACCCAAAATTGTCATTAAAATCAAAAGCTGAAGAGTATTAATTAGTTTATTATTAAATGCTGCTTGAAAGATTCCATGCTTTCATTCACATTTTATATTAACTTAAAGGGTTAGTTCACCTAAAAATGAAAATTCTCATTTATTTATCATTTATTCATCATCATTTATTCACCCTCGTGTCATTCCAAATCCACAAAACTTTCATTCATCTTCGAAACACAATTGAAGTTTTTTAATAAAACCTGAGAGATTTCAGTCTCTCCATTGAAAGTCATTCAACCAAAACTTTGATGCTTCAAAAAGAATAAAACGTAAGTAAACGGATATTCATATGAATCGAGCAGCCTTCTGAAGTCCTCTGAAAAGAGCCAATGAGGTTTGTTCTTGTTCTTGCATGTTTGAGCTTCCATTTACCATATTTGATGTGTTTTTATGTATGTGTGTTGATTAAAGTTTATATGTGAATAAAAGCCAAAATTAAATATGTTCATCATCTGAAGACTTGGATTAAACTGCTCAATTCACATGGATTATGGATTATGTGTCAAAGTTATGGTGAAATGGACTTTCAAAGGAGAGACAGAAATCTCTCATTTGTGTTTCGAAGATGAACAAACTATCTATCCAACTATGGATTTGCAAATTATGACAATTTTTATTTTTGGGCAAACTTTCTCTTTAAGTAGTTTTGATCATGTTTTTGACGATTAGGGCATGTCACACAACGAACCTATCCATTTTAGCATCTGCCTAATTTGCCCACTTCTATCACTGATGAACAGATTATGTCAAAATACAGTAAGTTTAGTGAATGCACAGTCTTTGATGTGGAAAGTGTTTTCCTATTAAGCTGTTTTATGTTGCCATCCTAACTATAGACAATTAGTTTAGTATTTGCATGAACATTTATTTTGTTGATGTATTTACTATTAAAAACAGACAACTAAAGTGGGGACTTTTTAAATAGTATATATTTAGTCTACTTGCTACTTGCAATTGCATGTCAGATGCAAGTGCAATTATCAGGTAATGACAGACCATTTTCTTGGACAGAAATGTATAAATGCCCCTGGAAACAAGATAAATGAAATAATATGTTTTGGTCTGATTTCCAAGAAGAAAAAGGTGTACTAAAATTGTACTTTGCCTGTAGCCTGTATGACCTTAAAGCGAACACACATGGACTACAAGCCACTTGCATTTTATGTCTTCAAGTTGCTGGTCTGTTATTAGTCTTATGAATCAGACCATCCTTGAACCGTATGTTGGTACGCTGTCTAGTGCACACAACATTGGCAAGGGCATTATCAAAACTGCAACCTCCAATCTGATTGATTGGCTTTACTCAATTTCCAGGGGTGCTTCAGGGTGCACAGGTTTATCAGTAAACCAGGAAATATTGTGTTTACAAGATCTCATGCTGTTAGAATGAGTTCTCTAAAAAAAAGACCTAGAAGCTGGATTTGGAAAAGTTTGAAGCACTGAATCTTTTAAAAAAAGTGTACATGCACGGCCTCCCACTGTTTG